ACTTTTTTCGACACTGAAACAAGTGAAATCAAAGCATCGCTCTGTTCTTACTGACACACATGTAAAACAGTTACTACGAGTAGCCACAACTGAATACAAGCCAGACCTAAAAAAGATTGTGGAAACCAAGGACTGTCAGGTGTCCCACTGAGTCAAATAAAAGGAGGTAGGCTGAATAAAATCCATGAAAACAATTCTGTTATGTAATTAAGTGTATAATTTGTGATACTGTTGTTTGCACATCTGTTGTGTGGCTCTTTGCAGCGATAAAGATTTTTTTTTGGCTCATTATGGCAAACAGGTTCGCCACCCCTGATCTAGTGTTATATCTGTATGTTTAAGCTAAACTAAACCATAGTTACATTTTTAAACCCACTAATGCATAACCTTAGTATTTTGACCTCACACCCATAATATTTTCAGTGTTTGAGCTTAATTGGTTTCCCTTTTAAGTTTTTTCCCTATTTTCATTTTTCAGTGATTCATTCATCATTTCTAATTATATGTTCTCTATTGTAGGATCTGTACTCCTTCTCGTCCCCATCAGCGATGAGACCGACTATTGCAGAGTCATCAGAGAACTTTTGTAAGAAGCAGTTGGTGGAGTTGTAGGAGAAGTGTGCAGTGCAGATGGACGGAACGGCGCCAGAACCATTCTCTGCAGAGCCCCCATACTACAGATGACCCTGTCTGACACACAGCCCTGAGTTCTCACTAACTGTGGTCGGTTAGTGAGGTAGTCCTGGATCCATGTGGAAAGGTGATGGTCCACTCCTGTGTACTCCAGCTTGTTCCTCAGGATTGTGGGTAGGACGGTGTTGAAGGCACTGGAGAAATCAAAGAACATGATTCTCACAGTGCTCCCAGCAGTCTCCAGGTGAGAGAGGGAACGATGTAGGAGGTGGATGACAGCATCATCTACCCCAATGCCCAGCTGGCATGGGTCCAGTGATGAGTCCAGTGATGAGCTCACCAGAGGCCAAAGCTGTGCAAGGACCAGCCGCTCCAGGCTCTTCATCAGGCGGGATGTCAGGGCCACCGGCCTGTAGCTGTTGAAGTCCTTTGGATGTGGAGTCTTCAGCACTGGTACCACACAAGAGGTTTTCCAGAGTTGTGGTACTCTCCCCAACTTCAGGCTCAGGTTAAAGAAGTGCACCATTACCCCACACAGTTGATCCGCGCAGAGCTTGACAACCCTTGAACTGTTGCCATCTGGACCCACTGCCTTCCTGGCTTTCATCCTCCTCAATTCCCTCCTAACCTGGGTGGCTGAAATAGGCTGAATAGACAGGCTGAATGTATGCTGGATGTCGTGGTTGGGGGGGAGGAGCAGTGAGCAGGGAGTGTGGAAGCGGTGTGAAGTATAGAGGAGGTGTGAAGTGTCTGAGGTGGAACAGAGGTCAGCTGGGAGTGTCTGTAGTAGGTGTTGGAGACTGCATCCGGGAGGGGAGTATGGGTGGAAAGGCAGGAGCATATGAATCAAACCTATTGAAGAAGTGATTTAGTTCATTTGCCCACCTCACGTCCCCCACCAGCAGAAAGTTCTGTCCTTTGTGGCCTGAGATGGTTCTAAGGCCTCTCCAGACTCCGCTGACATTATTCTGCTGAAGCTGGTTTTCCCATCCCTGATCAGTCTTCTCAGCTCTCTTNGCCCACCTCACGTCCCCCACCAGCAGAAAGTTCTGTCCTTTGTGGCCTGAGATGGTTCTAAGGCCTCTCCAGACTCCGCTGACATTATTCTGCTGTAGTTGTCTTTCCCATCCCTGATCAGTCTTCTCAGCTCTCTTTGCACCCTTTTCAGCTCCTCCTTTTCTCCTGATTTGAAGGCCCTCCTCTTCTGCTTGAGAATGGCCTTGATATCTGGGGTAAGCCAGGGTTTATGGTTTGGGAAGCACCGCACAGTCCTGGTGGGTACAGTGTTATCCACGGAAATTAATGTAGTCCGTAATGCAGGTCACAAGGCTGTCAATGTACTCCCCATGGTCATCACAAAGCACTTCCCACACAGTAGAATCAAAACAGTCCTTTAGAGCCTCCTTGCTCTCCTCTGACCATCTCTGCACTGAGTGGGTGACTGCTGGCTCCCTGCACACTGAGGGCTCGTACACAGAGACAAGGTGCACCAGGTTGTGATCTGATCTTCCCAGGGGAGGGAGAGGTGATAAACTGTATGTCTCTCTTGTGTTGGCATACAGTAAGTTCAGTGTTCTATTGTCTCTGGTGGGGCATGTCACATACTGGGTGAAGGTGGGCAGTGTGGAGTCCAGTGATGCATGATTAAAGTCACCTGTTATTAAAAACAGGGCTTCTGAAAACTGTGTCTGCAGTCTGCTGACAACAGAGTGGAGAGACTCACAGGCTGCCTCCGCGTTGGCCGAGGCGGGGGGGGGGGGCATACGCCATTATCGCGATAACTCCCTGGGGAGATACAGTCTTATGCAAAAGTTTGGCCACCCCTCAATAAATAACATATTTTGGTCATTTTTTAATTGAAAAGATGTAAATACAGGCTCTCTAGGAAATGGGAAAAATGCACAATATTTTAAGCAAACATTGATGCATAGTGTCACACCCCGCTCCGTCCGCTCCTAATGTGTGCCACGCCCACCTCATTACCTCCTGTTTCTCCCTGATTGTTCTCACCTGTGGCTCGTTACCCGTAGCTTGTCTGTTGTATTTAGTCCTCGTCTGAGTCAGTCTTCCCCAGACATGTCATTAATGTTACCCGTCGTTCTTCCCCGTCTTGTGGAGTCTACCGTAATAAACCCTGTTTGCCCTACTTCCTGGCTCCGTATCCTTGCTTCCCGGATCGCCTTCTGCCCGACCGTGACACATTGTTCAATTTATGACATAAAAAAGTAACTAAGATAAAAATAAAAACATTATTGTGGCACTCTGCAAAAGTTTGGGCACCCTACATAATCAGTACTTAGTAACACCTCCTCTGGCAGATATCCCAGCTTGCAAACAATTTTTATAGCCAGCTAAAAGTCTTTCAATTCTTGTACTTTGGATTTTCTCCCATTCTTCCTTGCAAAAGGCTTCTAGTTCTGTAATATTCTTTGGTCATCTTGCATGCACAGCTCTTTTAAGATCTACCCACAAATTTTCAATGATGTTTAAATCAGGGGACTGTGATGGCCATTCCAAAACCTTCAGCTTGCGTCTCTTGAGGTAGTCCATGGTGGATTTCGAGGTATGTT